TTCACTTCATTTATTATTTTTTTTCAAAATTCATTATATTTCTCTTCAAGTTTTCAACATTGATTGCAAAAATTTCAAAATATCATTTTTACTTCGGCCACAGCTTATATAACGTACAGTATCCTCCTCGGGATTATTTTCCGGTATATAAAAATGTACAGGATATGTGTGGCATCGGTATTCCAAAGGTAGATAATTTAATTTTGCATCTATTTTTAAAAATTTCACATTTCCAATGGGAAATTCTTCGGCAATTTCGTTTAAAATTTTCGTTAGTTTTTCCATGTCAGGCGATTCATCCCAGTGGACGGTTAAAAATTTATGACATTTATAGTTTTTTATGAAGATGTGAAAATTGTCGGCAATACAGGATGTTACAGGGGTGCTGGAATTAATAATGGCATGACGCGCTTGAGAGAAATAAGGCGCAAGACGTTCCAGTTCAAATGCGAAATAACACAGGGCAGCCGAAGTTTTGAAATCTTCTTCAATTTTATAGGTGTGATTGCAAAAATCAATTGCATAGATATGGGGTTTGGTTGAGTCAAAGTGCAGTTCGTCCATATATTTGTGATACCATTTGGGATAGATGACATCAATGTCCTGCAGTTCGCCCACCAGAAAATCGGTGCTGTAACCATACCTGCCATGGGCCACTTGATGTATTAGCTGAAGCCATTGTAGATAATATCTCACATCGTTACTTTTGAAATCCATAAAATAGATTATAACGCATTTTCGTATTTTCGAAAAGGAACGGCGATCCAAAACTTGAAATGATTTTGTAAAATTTTCATTTAAATATTCTTGTAGATTTTCAAATTGTATCCTCCTCACATCATTAGGTGGCAGGGTAAATGGTTTGTATTTAGATTTCTCTATTCCCTGATGCCTTAGCTGCTTGCCTTGGGGTCCAATATTTTGTTGAATGAAAATCCTCAAGTTTTCCGTATCTCTGGTACCCTGCTCGAAACGTATGAACTTCTGTTTTTCGTCATGAGGTATAAATAATATGGTTGGATAACAACCCACATAATATTCAAATGGTATGAAGTTGCGATCGCCATCTATATAGACAATATCTAAATTCGAGTCCTTAAATTCCTTGGCAAGCTGTTCATAGTTTGGTTCCCCTTCCTCGGCGGGCCGATAATCATCTAAACCCACAATTAGGAGGATATCTTTGCTGGAATTAGCCACTAAATCATTAAAATTCAAATGAACACATATTTTTACCAAAATATTATCCTGCACCATTTCCGGTATGGCTTGGGAAATAAATAAGTTACCACTTATTAGATTGCAACAGAGTTCCATTAACACCTCATCCGTTTTGTAGGCATCAAAGAACTGCAACATACGTCCCTTTTTGTCTCTTACGAAAATTTGTATATCCTGCTCCTCGGGTCTTATGAAACAGCTGAAATAATCTATGGGATTGGTATTGGGATATATTACATCCATGTCCATTTGATCGGCCACAATGAATTCTATTTCCCCGCCATATTTCTGGGACAATTTGTAAATTGCCTCAAGCCAGTACAAATGGTGAGCACATTTTTCACGAAAATGATTGAAGGCTATGAAAATTGGACGCTGGATGTTGGCAAAGCTGGAACGTTGCAGAATCTTGATGTGATTTCCATAGGTTTCTTGAACATATTTTTCAAAATCAATAAATTTTTCTTTGGCTGATTTCTCTTGTGGGGTTTCTTTGGCAGCAATTTCATTTGGTTTGGTTACTTTGTTGCCCTCTCGGACATCCGCCTCTTCGGCCGCTTCTTCTTCTTCTTCATCACTTGGAATAATTATTTCCGGTAGCAGTTCAACGTCTCCTTCCATTGTTTTATTAACTCTCTCGCTTTTTTTGGATGATTTTTTTTTCCAATAATTAATTTATTTATTGTTGTTGGTGTTGTTTAAAATGCAAGTGCTTTACCGCTATTAGCAGGGTAGTGTGACAGCTGCCACTTAAGCGTTCCTACTAAAGATTTATTAAATTTAATTTTAAATGCCACAAAAATAAAGAGATATTACGAATAATTGTGAAAAAGTCAGAGTGAGAGAGAGAGATGGTATGAAATTCTCTTCTGCTCACTTTGTGTAACTGAAAAAGCTCTCTATTTATCTCTTTTGATGTTTACCTTTATATGGTGAGACAAGTAATAGCCAAATATAGTCATAGACAAATTAAGATATAGACAACGAAAAGTTAGTTTGGTCTTTTTTTCCAGGTGGCTCTCATCATGTTTTGCATAGTCAACATGCTCATTTACGCGTTCAAGCCACTCGACTTCGAAAACACATTTCATCGTTTTTCAAGAATTTCACTTGATTATTCCGGAATTTTTTGATGTCATCTCGTAATTTTCACATTTATTTTATTATGGAACAATTTTCAACTGACAAATATCCTACAGTTTTTGTTATTTTTAACGTTTTAGAATTGAGTGACTTCAATATTCCCACTCAAACCCCTGAAACGATATAGACGACATCTGCTGATTCGATTTTTTCGAAGATAAACGGTGAGAGCATTTCGTTGTCTATATGTGGCCTAAGCCTGATGTGGCCTAAGCCTGATAAAAATATTACAATGTGCCATATTTGGACTATATCGACTGCTTCCTATACTTTATGTGAAATATGTGCAATTTTTTTGGAAAATGTGGCCGAAGTATTCTATTTTCATACTTCATTTAATATAGGAAGAAATATGGGTATGGGAAAAATTACAAGAAATTCGAACATTTAAATCCAATTAAATATTCCTCTTAGGTTTCTGGTTAAAAGAAATATTTAGATATAGCAAGTTGTGGAGATTCGCCGACTGGTTTCACAAGTTATGACAGATATAAGCATTGAAAATTGTGACCCTTTGTGGGTGAGGTACCAGCAAGGTGTTCGCAGATTCATATATATTACTTCACCACAGATCCTGCTTTGGCAAAAATATTTGGATGTATGAAATTTGAAGAGAATTAGATGCTTATCTCGCTTTCTTTGAGCGTTTGTTTTTTCAAAAATTTTGAACTCTATGTGGCGGAGGTACCACAAGGAATGGTGCCATCTCTACCATCTATATAACAGATCCTGTGTTAATGGAAATATTGAGATTTACCAAGTCGGAATAGAATCGAAAGTTATTTTCATGTTTTATGAGCTTCATGAATACAGAAAATGTTAATCCTTTGTGGGGAAGGTATCAGAAGGTTCACATCAGGCTTTGAGTTAATAAAAATATTATGATCTGTGAACTATGAAGAGAACCGGATGCTTATTTCGTATTTAATAGTCGTTTTCGTTATTCAAAACGTTGACCCTTTGTGGGAGAGGTACCAGAGGGAATGATCCGATCTCTACCATCTTTATAACAAATCTTGTGTTGATGGAAATATTGAGATATGCCAAGTCTGAAGGGTTTTATGTGATTAATGGATATTCAAAATGTTGACCCTTTTGTGGGGGAGGTACCAAAAGGAGTGGACCGATATATTTCATATTCAAACCAGACCTTGGGTTAATAATAATATTGTGATCTGTGAACTATGAAGAGAACCGAATGCTTATTTTGGATTCAATAATCGTTTTGTTTATTCGAAACTTTGACCCTTTGTGGGGGAGGTACCAGAAGGAATGGTCCGATATCTGCCATCTTTATAACAAATCTTGTGTTGATGGAAATATTGAGTCTGAATGGAATCGGAAGTTAATTTATGAGCTTAATGGATATTCAAAATGTTGATCCTTTGTGGGGGAGGTACCAAAAAGAGTGGGCCAATATATTCCATCTTAACACCTGGCCTTGGGTCAATGCAAATATGGTGGTGTGTGTAATTTGAAGACAATCTGACTCTTCCATCACATTTTACAAGAGTTATAATTACTCAAAATTTTGACCCTTTGTGGTGGTGGTACTTGATGGAGTGAAGCGATATTGTCCATTTTCGCCTCTGACCTGGCACTGATGCAAATATTCGGATTTGCAAAGTTCGAGCAAAATTGGATTATCCTTTCTCTTTCTGTGCAGTAAATTATTCTCTTGACATTTTGTGTGGTAGGTACCAGAAGGGGTGCAGCCATATTGCCTATCTCCGAACTCGATCTAAGTTTGACAATAATATTACGATGTGACAAATTAAGATCAAATCCGATACTCCCTTTGAGAGTTACACCAGCCAGAGAGACAGACGAACAAACGGACAAGGCTAGGTCGTCGCCAAATGTCCTGAAACGGATTTGTCCCAAAGAGTTTTCGATGAGGCACGTTTTGGCCGTATCAAATGATATATACCCTCTCTCTAGCCATATGGCTGAGGGTATAATAACTTACTCTTGTTGTACGGTTGGTCCTTAAAAACATTTTAGGTAAGTACCTTATACCTCTGTTGTTTAAAAACCTACCATTGTAGCAGAGTTAGTCCTTGTAAATGAGAATATAATCCAATCTTCGATTTTCAATTATATTTTGGATCCTGCTCAGAGGATCAATGTAGGAAATGAGAACGGAATCCAATCTCCCTCTTCGATTGTCAATTCTAGTCTCTATTCGGCTCGACTGCAGCAATGTTTAGTGAGAAAGGAATACAACCGCTTCGCTTGGGTGTAGATTCAATTTTAGTACTACTGAAAATAATCTAACTTAACCTAATCGCAGCCCCACTATTATTCGTATATAGTCTAATATTGAATGGAGAACATTGCAGGGCTGTTTGTCATTTCATTGAAGTGGTCTTGTACATCTACTGAGGGCATCGATATCTGTGCGTGTGGGTCATAACCTTTATTATCTTACACATTATCGTATGCGTCTGCGCACGTCAGATCATCGAATTGTTCACATGATATATTTTAGGGCGACTGGGAAATATGTAATTTTAGAATATTTATTGTTTATTGCTACGTTTTCCCAGCGCCTCAACCGCTCTCAAAAGTATTTACAAAGTATTCTGTACAGTCCTTGAAAAATAATTAATTATATTTTTTGTAATCTGATATAATCCCATTTTTTTGTTATTTATTTCAGCTATATTTTCCGCTATTGTTTCTTATAAATTCCAATATATTTTCTTTACTGCTATTTTTATTAATATATCTCACAGTCTCCTCATCTCTATTCCGTTTCGGTATGAAAAAGTGAACCGGATATGTGTCAAAAGAATATTCCACAGATATGCTATTATATTTCACATCCATTTTCAATAACTCCACCCCGAAATCTTGAACTTCTTGAGCAATTTCATTTAAAATATTTAATATTTTATGCGACTCTATGTAATTCGATCGGTAAATTGTTAAAAATATATTGTGGCGTGAATTATTTATGTGGGTGTGGAAATTTTCGGCCACACATGTTTTCACCACATCCCTACGCCATGGACGACAAGTGTATGGGGTTTGGGAATAGGACAGCTGTGAATAATGTAATTTTACGAAATAATAAAACCACGAAGATGGCGTTGGTAAATCAGAAATTTTATAAATTAACTTCATTCGATCGATGGCATAAACTTGTGGCTGTTTGGAGTTTTCCAACTGCTTGTTGTCCAGGTGTTTTAAATACCATTTGGGAAATATAATATTGACATCACGAAAATCTCCAATTAAAAATTTCACCGCATAACAAAACGTGCCCTGGGCCACTTGATGGATTTTTTTGAGGATATCTTGGTAATACGTAATGGGGGTTCCTTGAAAATCAAACAAATGTATGATGTGGCAATTGTTGTCAGTTTTCAAGGAGTTCCGGTTTAGCAATTGAAATGATCTGGGAAAATTTTCGTCCACATACAACCCCAAATCTTCATAGGTTAGTTGCTTGTCCGTGGCTAAGCTAAATGGTTTATATTTAAGTTTATTGCGATCTTCCTGCCTCCACTTTTCACCTTGGGCGCCAACGTTCTGTTTTATGAAATTACGCATGTTTTCCGTATCTCTAGCGCCTTGCATATAGTGTATAAACGCATTTTTATCATTATGTGGTATAAAAAGTATTGTGGGATAACCGCCAGCATTATATTCAAATTTCGTGTAATTCTTGTCGCCATCCATGTAGACAATTTTCACATTAGAATCGACGAATTCCTTGGCCAATTCTTCATAATTTGGTTCGTACTTCAAATGATATTCATCACGGGGTGAATAATCTCCATAGCCAATGATAAGCAATATATCTTGGGAGGATTGCCATACAACTTTTTCAAAACTCAAATGGACACATATTTTGACTAATGTCTCCCCTGGCTCGGGTATTGCTTGGGATCTATATATACTGCCGTTTAATAGATTTTCACACAGTTCCGCTAAAGTCTCCTCCGTGTTGTAGGCATCAAAGTGCTCATACACCCATTTTCTTTCATTTATGGCATAGACTTGAATGTTTTGATCCTCCGGCCGCAGTGAATAGGATAATAATTCAATGGGATTAGTGTTGGGATACAGTACATCCATATCCATTTGATCGCCCACCAAAAATTCTATGCGATCTCCATATTGTAATGATAATTTAAAAAGGGTATCCAATTTGTCTTGATGATAATAGCAAAATTCGCGAAAATGATTGAAGGCCAGAATAATGGGCCTCTCAATTGCCTGAAATGTTGAACGTTGCAAAATTTTGATTTTATTTTCACATTTTTCACGAACATAACATACAAAATCAACATAATTATCGTGGAGGTTTTGTTGGGGTGACGGCGGCAGTCGTGGTGGCCTGGGAGGATATTTACGTTTTCTTATAATTGTTTTTGGTTTTATTATTTGCTGATTTGATTCGTCATCCTCAATGGTTATTTGTCGAAATAAACGAAATTCTTCTTCTTCTTCCGTCATGGTGTTTCTGTTGTCGATGTTAGTTTGGCCGTTACTCAAAGGGAACTAAAACCGCCTTTTTTGTCACAAAAAACAAAGATAAACAGTAGAAGAGGGTCATGAAATGAAGAAATCCATGAACAAGATTTTCTAACAGCTCTCTCTATCTCTCTCTAAGCTCTCATCAACGGAAATAATAATAATAATAATGGCGAAATAAACAAAATTCTTCTCCTTCTGTCATGATTTTTTTGTCTTTGATGTTAGTCTGGCCGTTACTCAATGTGAATTGTTACCGCGTTTTTTTGTGACAAAAACAAAGATAAGAAGAAGAGAGGAATGAAATGAGGGAATTCATAACAGTTCTCATTTTCTTTCTCCGTGTCAACGGAAAGCTCTCATCCAAAGAGGTATTTTATTTCACAAATAAATAATAAATATTTCACAACAATAATAAATTAACGTTTTTTATAGTTCAATAGATAAAATAAAAGCTGAGGAAGTGCATGGCAATATGGAATGCAATAAATCATATTGAATGGAGAAATATAATAAAGAGAGCTCTTCGATGGTTCTCTTTCTGAGAATAATTGTCAATATTTTTGTAAAGCAAATATAAAATGGCAAAAAATAATAGTTCAAGTGCAAGGTAGTGCATTAACTTGCAGTAGTCACGCAAAGGCTTTTTCC